ATTATGGTGCATCAGCCTAATGTTACCATCACAGAAGTTGGCAGATTCTGCTCCTTGGGTAGAAATATAAAGTTGTGTTTAAAAGATAAATTAAACCGCCAGCTATTTTGACAAGCAAAATATGTTTCGGCAGATGCAATACGTCCACAAAGCGTGAGATTAAAAATAACTAGGACATGTTAGTCTCACAAAATACAACGTAAGTGCCCTCTGAAGAGGATTGACAGGTTGTACTTTCTGTTATACAATTGTCTAATCATTTTCATAACAAATTAGATGATAATGTTAGCTGTTGGCATTAATCGCAGTGTTTATTTGTACCATTTAAGTTGATTTTTTGAGACTGCTGAAAATTGCTTGCAAGATCCAGTCTACCTAATAAAATTTTAGGTGAAAATTGGTTTTAAATCTTCGATATCTATTCACTTCAGGTATTTGTTAAGTTTGCTACTGTAGGTCTACTATCAATTGAAGAGTCCCGAACGAAATGACGTAACGATTTATCGTGCGATTCATAAAGAACTAGTTGACTACGTCAGACAAAGTCACGCTTTCACAATATCAATTTGTGAAGTTGTTGATGTCACATTAATGGTGCACTACTACGTTTCCTCAGTAAACATGGTGACTCAAAATATGTGCTGTAGGTTTCCAGGTATTTATCCATGGAGCCAGAATTTCAGGTTTGTGTTAAAGTAATGGGGAAATGTCGGGTAAGTTCGGCCTAAAAGGCTCAAAAAAACCAAACATATGCTGCTTGAAATGGTGTAAAGCAACATTAGATTAGTTAGGTCTTTTATTGTCTACATAGGTAGTTGAATGTTTTATGATGCATTACTCATCTCTGAGGGAAATGGGATGACCAGCAAAAGTGCAGCTATTTAAATTGGTGTTACCAGTGCTCCAAAACTACTTTTCCTCGCACCTTTGAGAGGTTTCGTTGATCAATCGCTTGATGGGGAATGAAGTTGACAGTTAGGTTGCCACTTGGAGAGGTCAATGCAAATCAGCTGGGTAGCCTGCAACTATGAGACGGTAGCGGTCATTAATCCAACTGTGTGCTCATCTAAACCGCGACAGCAGTATACCGCGTCCTCTCTCAAATGCAAGTAAAGTACGTCGAATGAATGCTTCACGTAATAATTTCGCCTGTACTCCAATTACATGATGAAGATGTGCCACGTGCTAGTTCCACTGACAGGCAAATGTAAAATCCACATGGCTAGAACAGGCGCCAAATACTGTCTCTTCATCGCCTGGCTTTCTTACTTTAGCATCCGCAGGCGTCTAGATCAGGATTTGATATTTAGCATTAAAGCTATCTACGCAA